TTTAAATTGAGATCCCTTCCCTTTATAACTCACTTATCCTCCGCCATTCCCAAGTCAAGGGTCGTATATACTGACCCAATAGCATATCTTGAAAACTAGAGCCAATCAACAATTTTAAGCATCATTTTCGTTCTCAGTGACCCAGAATTAGTAAAGTTTGACTACATTTATTTCAGAAGCATTTTGGCTGTAGAGCAGTGTAATGGGAAAATATGTTTGAAGTTTCAAATTTTTTTGCAGTGTGAAAACTATATCCTGCCTAGCACTAGATACAGTACATACTTTCAAAGCTACTAAGATGAAAACTGTATCGAATTTACTAGACCTAAACATATCATTTGGCGACCTGATCCTGAGAAGTACTAAGTGCCTGCAAGTCCCACTGAAAGTCTCCACTAGCAAACTATTACTATAATTAGTAAATATAGTTAAGTAATATGTACCTGCATCTGCATCTGTAGCCTGCACTCTTGTCAATAGTGTTTTAGGCTCAGTGTTTTCAAACACTGTAATGGAGTAAGGATCAGCTGTAAACTCTGGGGCATTATCATTTACATCTTCTAGAGTGAGAATAACATGAGCCTTGCAGAATCTTCCTCCTCCATCTATGGCCTTGACTAAAAGATTATAAACTGCTTGCTGCTCACGATCAAGTGGTGCTAATGTTTTCAGTTCACCTATAAACAGAAAAACAGATGTAAAATAAATTAACTTACTTGAGTCCCCAGAATTAAGTATCCCATAATGATTTGTACCATGATGTTTTTATCAAATCTTTCTTCTTTTTTAGTCACAAAAGCTAAATAACCATTTTCCTTTTGAGGATAATTTTGTCAATGACTGAGACAACAGCTGTAACACACTAATGAGCCCCATATTGGGCAAAACGTGTAAATGGCTGTCTTTTCAACTTATAAACGTTAAACACGGAAACCTTTTGCTTTCTAAAAAATCCCTCTGCAATTGAAATTGACCAAATGTGCAGCACACATAACACAGAACATATACATCTATGCCTACACATACACGATAGTGCATGGTGCATTATTTGAAAACAAACATTTTAAATAAAAGAACTGTTTGAATCCTTGTTTTAATTAAATGCAAAGTTAGAAGAAAATGTATGACATATTATCCGTGGAGTGAGGAAAGAGAGAGATGGTCATGTGAAGGTTACAAATGGTTTGGGGTGCAGGAAGGCGGCAGCTTCATTATGTAGTAAAACCAAAAATGAGAGGTTTGTGCCAGTGATTTGGTAGGGAAGACCTCCCCTTTGCCCAAACCCCTAGGAAATCCACAAGCTCCGCTCTCAGGCCATTAAGTTGCAATCCTTGCATGGGAAACCTACCCTTGGCTCCCTCCCTATGGCTCCACCATTTATTTTGCTTTATTTTTGTTACCCTTTGCTTCTGCACCCTGCATTGCATTGGTCTGGAGAGTGGGATGCTTAGGACCTCAAAGTGGCCCAGCTTGACCTAACTCTTGCTTAAGTAGCTCTGAGTGGCATGAAAACCAACCAATAAGAGTGTGATGGGGTGCAGACCACTCACTTAATGCTTCCAAGCAAGTCTGGGGTGGTTCTGGTTCACTCATTCCATTTAATTCCCTGCCCGAGCTGCAAAGCTTTGAGAACACCGGACTTCCCTTTTGCACTATTCTCTAGGTGTACAGCAAGATTTAAATCCATCCAGATGGTTGGCCACCAGAATATGACTGAAATGAAACTTGCTACTTTTCAGGTCAAAAGCTATGGCTAGTAACCAATACATTAAATATGAAAAAGAACAATATTTAAGGTATCCTTTTATTCTGAACTTCTTTGGCATAGACGTCTGATAGCAATTAAAGAAGCCTGACTTTTGGCTTCAAGGTGTTTTATATTTTTAAAGAACACAAGAATGACCATACTGTGTCAGATCAATAGTCCATTTAGCCCAATATTCTGTCTTCCAACATTGGCCAGTACCAGATGCTTCAGAGGGAATGAACAGAACAGGGAAATTATCAAGTGATCCATCCCCCATTTCAGAGTAGCAGCCGTGTTAGTCTGTATCCGCAAAAAGAAGAACAGGAGTACTTGTGGCACCTTAGAGACTAACAAATTTATTAGAGCATAAGCTTTCGTGGACTACAGCCCACTTCTTCGGATGCATATAGAATGGAACATATATTGAGGAGATATATATACACACATACAGAGAGCATAAACA